CTCGCAACAGCGCAGCGTGCAAAGGCGCGTACATCCAAGACAGCATGGGATAGTGACTCTCCGGATGAAGTCAAGACACTGCGTGGAACGCGCAGTTCCGTCGATCTCAGTAGAGCTCATGGCAAGGACAGCGCAACGTTTCTTACAAAGGAAGCCCTGGCTACTGTCGAGAACACCATAGCATCGCCCACGTCTCCGCTTAGCCCCAGCAGACTGCATGGCTCTCCAACGAAGCGGCCATGGAACAGTCCCACCGGATCGCCTCTCCGCAGCAGCGCGCGTCACCAGTCCAGTTTCTCCCTTCGCATGTCGCCGACCAAGTCAACACACCTCAACACCGACTCGATCTCTGCAGGACACTCGCGAGCATCTAGCAGCGTTGCGACATCCACCGGCAGGGCTTCGTTTCACACTGCACAGGGGTCGCCAGTAAGGAGTCCTGCAAGCACGGAGCATAGCTTCCAATCTGCTGCAGAAAACCTTGAAGACCTTGACGTCCCCAGTGTCGACTTTTATGCTGACAGCGATGATGAGCAGGTGCAGCACGAGTCCGGGAGTCCGCGATCTGCCGCCGCGAGAACGAACGCTGAAGGAAAGCGAAAGTCATTGACACCGAGGCTTTCGCTTGTCATTCCTACGCCTGGCCGTGACAATCATGAAGGTTCCATGGACTCCCGCGTTGCCGGCGGTCCGCTGAGTCCAGAATCGCCCACCCAGGTGTCTCGCATTCCCCGAGCCGGCACCAGCAGCAAGACCGCGCCCCCCGTACGCACCATCAAGCGCGTCGAATCTGTCAAGTCATTGCAGAAGAAGATCAAGGAGCTGCAGCTAGCTATGCAGATGGATGCAGCCCAGTTAGATGCTATCCAGATCCCCCTACCCGCGACGCCCGCGCCGGCCCCTCTACGCCATGTCCGCACCGTCGACAGCACCGGCTCGACTCCGATCATTTCGCGAAGTTCTGGGTCACACAATCATAGTGGTATGGTTGATGTTGCTTCTGAAGATGACCAAAACCAGTCCACTCGCGGCAAGGGCCCTGCCATTTCGGCCGATGTCACCAGCCTAGGCCAGCCAAACGACGCACCGGGATGTGATGCTAGCTACGAGCACGCTCAACCGTTCAAGGTCGATCAAGAGGCAGCGCATAACGTCGCACAACCCAAGAACGTGCCATGGGGTGTTCCGACAAGTCTTGCTCATGGTACGACGCTCACACGTCCTATCAGCGTACCCGCGATCGTCGTCATGATGGCTCACAATTTGGACATAGGGAACCTGAACCTCAACACTCAACAACACGAGGCTGTTTCCGAGTCCACGAACCACGTCAATGACGTCGAGAACGCGTCTTCATCCAGGGGAAGAAGTGAACGGTATGTACCCAGTGAGCGTAATCAGACAGACAGCGGGCGTTCATCGCAATCTAGTATGGGCTCGGACCTTCGCGCAACTGCCACCGAATTCGTACCTCAGCCTCCGACGGCGACCAGTTCGATCGACGCCACCACGGACAACACACCTCTGAGTCCATCTCTCGACATAGCCGACCTGCCGGATGCGACGGTGCTCGATAGAAACGGTGTACCGTTCCTTTGGTACATGTACGGCGTACAGTTTGCTTACGAACAGGGTTACCGCAACGGTCGTCCAAAGTCACCCAAGAAGTACAAGCCGAACAAGAACCCGCGCAAGTCTATCTCTTCACCAGCCGATGCTGCGCCTTATTCCTCAAAGGCCGTCCCCATCAACAACCCCGGACCAGCAACTCCTCTTTCGGCCGCAGCGAAGCAGCGCATGACATCCGCAGAGCTGATGCCGCCTCCGCCGCTCCCTACTAGACCACGTCAAGAGGAGACTCACCAAGAAAACTACCATCCCAGTTCTAGTCGCATGATGTCGCCCCCGCAGACACTCGAGCCTGTTCCAAACCAGCCTTTCGCACACCAGCTTAGTCTGATCGAACAGACCGCCAACAGCAACCGCGCGAACAGCAACGCTCCCCGTCACTTTGGCGTTAACCCACAGCCCTGGGTTGGTTTCCCATCTGGCCCCCGCAACGCGCACCCTCCCACGTACTACACAGTACCCCGCCATGGCCACCGCAACAACCGTGGCAATGGCCTGTACGGCGGTCGTGGCAACGCTGCCGGTGTACCTATCGATGCAACCGCCCCGTTCCCCAACCCCACCGCACCACAGGGCCGACCCGACCAACGCCAGACCTACGAGGCCGCTCCCGTCGACTACTCAGACTATACTATTGGAAAGGAGTCTTGCGGTCTAGTCAACATCACTGTTGCGACAGAGCGTGCTGGTGGCGAGCCATGTAATGCATGTGCTCCCGACCATTGAAGGCCGCAGGTGTCATTGGCGAGATGATTGGATAAGAAATTGAATGACGGAATGGACATGGGAGGATAACATAGTTTGGACAGAGAAAGGCTATTGGTATCGTACTGGATACGTCCTTGAGATTGCACATGGCATACGAAGCATGTCTTACCAGGGGACGAATAGGATCGATGGATGGGATTGCTTGAGTAGTAGTTGATAACGAGGAATGAATAAAACGTATATGATCATGACTGTTCGATAATTAAGCCAAGATCAAGGGTGAGCCTTGCTGTTCATCTCGACATTCGTGTGTTGTCAATGAAGGTGTTATGGCCTTTCTTTCATCCGGATGCGGACACTAAAGGCAACCTGAGAGGCGCCACACTGCGCATTACCGGCCTCCCCATCGTGATTTTCGGAGATACTGCACACCCATGATGTATTATACTCACAATAAGCTACCTTTCTATTCCTTCGAGACACTCGACAGCGACATCACTCCATAATGCTTGTCTCTCTCATTTTCCTCCTCGTAATCTCCTCACGGCAACGACAAGCCTCCGCAATCCTGTTATCCGACCTATCTTTATGCGCTGTAAGCCTTCCTTCTTTCCCCAGCAACCCCCGACCGCGCCCTCACTCACTTACCCCCATCGCAGGAAAAATGCGTCATAGAAACCATCACCTTCCACGGGTCCAACAACGAATTCTGCGACCTCTATGCACCCATGAACCCCGCGTGTACCTGCTACCGTCGGAATCGGCCCGTTGCTGGCCTAGGGAAATGCGGCGATGAGGAAGTGGGTAGGGATGTGCTTGATGAGGGGTGTGAGGCTAAAGACTTTGAGGACGCGGAGGATTATGTGGAGGGGGTGTGTGGGAGTGGGAGTGTGAGGGGCCGTAATGGCCGTGGTGGTGGTTTTTCGAGTGAGGATATTTCCGTTTCGTCCACGGCATCAGCTGGGGGAACCACGACGTTGGAGACGACGAGTACGAGCGGGCACGATGCTGGGTGGACGGCCGAGGAGACTATGACTACAACTACGTCGCTACAACCTACGCCTGCGTCTTCAGATTCGATGAACGCGGCGGTATCTTTGCGTACTGGGGGCGAGGCTTCTGAAGCCACTACCGAGGCAGGCAGTCAGAGTAGAGCGCATAATTCTGCTCTTGCAAGCACCAGTGAGACAAAGATTACGCCGACTTCTTCCGCATTGCCGCCACAAACACATACATCCGCCCGGCGTCTGTCTCCCAGCGCCAAAATCGCTTTGGCAGCAGGCATACCCTGCGGCGCGCTGTTTTTGGTCATCTTTTGCGCGAGCGTGCGCCTGGTTTCCAAACGGAGGAACGTCACGAAAGTGAAGGAGATCACGCGCAGCCAAACACGGCCAAATAAGGACGGAGAGAAGGGCCTCGAACGTGAGCTTGACGGATTTGATACATCAAGGCACGAAATGGAGACGGATGGCAATAGGGCTGAGCTACATGTCTCAGTTGAGAGACATGAGATGGCAACGAATGGCAATAGGATAGAATTACATGTCGCAGTTGCCGGGCATGAGATGGAGACGCATGCTAATAGGGCTGAGTTACATGGCGCAGTCGAGTGTTACGAGTTGGAAGGACGGGAATTGTTGAAAGATGGTTAATGGGCTGGTGGCCATGTGAAGCTAGGCTCGCTGCGCAGTCTTCCGAAGAGCACACCTACGTACCGGCTCACCGTCGCCTTGCGGCTTTGGCCAACCGATGCACTATCCGATGCATCCTCTTCCGATAAATCAGCGCTGTAGTCAATTTTAGGCCGGAGTAAATGTCCGTTGCGTGACTGGCGGGCGGCCCGGTCCGCTAGTGATTAGAATCGGGTAGGTGCGATTGGTAAGGAGAAAAGTAGTCACGCGATTCCAACCAAGGTAGACTCTGCGCTTTGACGCATAATATCAGAAGGACTTGGGCGTTTTATCTGGTTGCTGCCTGAGATGCGCTATTTGCGGCGATGACTATGCTCATGTGGGGGGTTTGGTATTCCGCATTTAATGAACTTTGTGTCTCGCTCTTGAAGTGGGTCGGGCGGACAAATGGCAAGAGAGGTATTGTGATGGCTACGCGAGAATTCGCTCCGAAATCACCTGTTGGTGTGTCTTCAAGCGAAGAGTCAGACGGATTTTGATTCTGAACCATAGTTGCGGGCGGATGTTGGACTCATCGCGCTGAACAGGAAAGTGCGTAAAAGTATATAAGTGAGCTGAACGCACTTTCTTCTTCTCTCATCGACTTCATCGACCGCGACTACTCATACGACCCTAGTGACTTCGTAAAACTACAAGCCTTGGAGACAACCAAAGCAGCAGTAAGGCGCCTACCTCTATAACAGCGTTGACACGACACCTTTCTGACACACCTTGTAGCCTCCACACTACGCCAACACCTCAACCATCCCAACTGAAACCCAGTCTTGTAGCCTCCACACCCCACCAACACCTCAGGCATCTTGACTGGAAGCCAACCTTGTAGCCTCCCCACCCCACCGACACCTCAACCATCTAGACTGAATCCCAGTCTTATCGTCTCCCCGGTTCAAGATGTCAAACTTCGGCGACAACATGGCGGTAATGTCCACTCCCAGCGCCAACATGGGAGTAATGGCCACCCCAACGCCGCCTATGGGGCCGCCATGTTACCCAGACAACCACACCGGCTTTACGGTGGAGCAGCAGAACGAGTTCAGCGAGCGTCTGAACAAACAGGGGCTGCTCCCTGACAAGGTCGAGGGCATTCAGGTACCACGGCCATTTCCCCTTCTGTGGGTACCTGTCACGAGAGCAAGAGAATTGCAGCCAGGATACAATTCGAGGACCGATCTTGTGTATCTCCTCTCGCGCTTCCCGCCTGATCCGTGGGGTCCTATCTTCGAGGAGTTGCGCCACAAGTGGCAGCGGGACGAAGCCGCCTACTGGGCCAGCCAGCGGGCGCAGGGGCATGAGCAGCAGCTGGCGGCGGGTTGGCAACAGATCCCATACCCTCATCCACAGCAGGATGAGATGGGTGGCCAGAGCGCGCAGATGCACGCGCAATACTGTGAGGCCAGGAACGCGGATGAGACACTTGCTGCCGCGCATCGAGCAGCAGAGAAACGGCGCCGGGATGACATGGCGATGGAGAGGGGAGACAGCGGTGTCGATGTGTTGGGTAGGAACAATGAGTCCGGGCTTGAAGAGACTTTGGCGCTCAGCCCAAACATCGATCCACGTTTGCTCGGCATGTAATACGGACGGTAATGGACTGTGTTTGCTGAGTGATCTTGGAGCGTCGCATCACACCGCGAGCCTTCGGAGCTGAGTAGGGTGCGGTATCTGGCTTCGACTACCGCGACCAAAGAGAGAGCGAGGAAAGTGGACAAAAAAGACGCGGTCGATAAGACTGGCTGAGCTGGAGATATGGAACCACGCGTACGGAAGGTTGCGCGAGAGTACTGTTTTATTACGATGGTTTTCTGCATTTCCGTTGCATACATACTTTTCATAGAATTACAACTTTGACAACCCATCCTTTGCTGTCCACCTGACGCGCAAGCTCGCACATCCTCATCGCAACACCACACGCGTTGAAACATGGAGATCGTGACGTGAAATTACTGACGTCGAATAGGCGCAACGCGGTGGTCCGTTCTTAGTGCGATGACGATTTACGGGGGCACTGCCCGCTAGGTGGCAACCTGCAGCGTGATCACCGAGTGCAATTCCGCGCGATGCCGATGCGATCGGACGATGCCAATGTCCGGATGTGCGGGCGTGAATATCGTGTATAGCGTTGAGAAGGCATGGAGAGCGATGGAGATGCGCAACGTCGTGGGAGAGCGATGCTTGATATCGGGATTATAATTATTGTGTGCGACAATGCACGTCACAACGTCATGACAGGCTCGAGGTCTGGAATCCGCTTGCACGCCAACACGTGATAGCGCGCTTGGCGTTGAGGCGGAGCGCTCGGACAGCGGAATTAGCGATGAAGCCTCTTGGAGCTGGTGCCAACCTCTCCAGACCCGCGTCCCCTTTGCCTCTAAACCTCCATCGTCCAGAACCCCAATGTCTCGCATTCAATGGTGTCCTCGCAAAATGAGGTGGGTATCGTTACCTACCCGGCTACTGTCAACATAGCGACACTTGTCATCTTCTTCCTCTACCTCCTCGTCTCCATCTGGCTCATCATCCGCCAGGGCCTGGGCCACAGCTCGCCATGGATCTGGCTCACCCTGCTGTCCATATGTCGCCTCACGCAGGTGTCGCTCGATTTGGCAGCCACGACCAAGTTTCCCAAATTTTCAGCGCCGAACACGACCCTGGAAAGCGGTGTTGCCATCCTCACCACCATGGGGCTCACGCCGTTGTTTATGGCCACCAGTAGCTTGCTCAACACAACCACGCGCCCCAAGGGCCGACGCATGCAATGGATCCTGCTCATGGTCCACATCCCGCTCATCATCTCCTTCATTCTTATCGTGGCTGGCGGCATCGATCCGGATTCTCGAGACGGACCCACTTTTGCAGCGACGGAAGCCACTAAAGCCGGTGTTTCGCTCTACTTGGCATGCTTCCTCGTCCTCATCTGGTCTACCACGGTCATCTCAGCGCGTCTCTACCTTGCCGACAGGGACGAGGTGCGGATTCTGACGACGGTCGTTATGAGTCTGCCGTTCTTCGTCGTCGATGTCGTCTACATGATGTGCTTCGCGTTTGAGCGGTGGCGTGCCAACGAAGGTTCCGATGGTTGGAAGAGCATGCGCTTCAACGTCATCAGTGGTAACGTTACTCTGCAATTGTGCATGTGAGTATTACGATTTTTGTTAAGTCTGCCTCATTTGCTAATGTTTGTAGGCAAGTTATCATGGAATGGATCATTGTTGGGCTGTACCTTGCCTTGGGTCTCGAATTGCCAAGCAAAGCTGTGAGATTGCGCAGGCAGATTGAAGACCAAATGGACCAAGCTAGGAACATTGACGTGGACGCATGGCAAGAGACGGTGTTGTGGAAGTTGCACGACAGCGTATCGCGGCTTGTTGCTGCGATGATCATGCCGGCTCTACAGTTCGCGCACTGGATGCTGGGAAAGATATTGCGATCCGGACAGCAGAATACGCCTTGAGGTGGGCAAGAATCATTGCTCATCAACATCGACATCAGGATACAACTATCCTAAGAGCGCGTCTGCTACAGACTAGTGACGTCACGAACACCAGGTGCCGCCGACTACTTACAACGAGTTGCAGGCTCGGCCTTCGCCCCAAGACCACGATGGCACCTCGCTACAATATCCATTGTATCAGCAATCGCATCCATCGATCGGTTCCACTGAGGCAGGGTGCTCTGCCTTCAGTCGTGGCGAACTGCGACTAGATCCGGCTATCGCGGCCCGTCTACAGCACCCCTGTGCCCACAATTCGCGATGCGAAACACCAAAGTCCGCCACCACGCGAACGCGCTCCTCCTTCCCCGTTCCGAGTCTCGTCGGGTTCTTACGACGGGCCGGCATACTGTCAACTGTGAAGAGAGGAAGGCAGCAAATGGGAGGAAGCGCCACAAAAGACGGTAGCGAAAGGAGTCGGCGGCGCGACGGATGAGAAGTATACAGAGGTTACAGCTCATCATCAACGCAATACATACAAATACCATCCGACGACAGCTTGTTGTTCCTTTCGAAATCGTTGACAACCCCGTGCAGGCGACATCGCGAGAGGTCACGTCCATGCCATGCGTCTGCAGGGTTAGCTAGATCTCGTGTCGCAAGATGCCATATATATACTATTGAATGCTAACAGCTAGATAGCTTGTACGATCGTGTCTACTTCTACCAGTGTTAATGCTTCGCAGAACGCGACACGCATCGTAGCTATCTCAGTCATCGATGCACTGTCGCCTCTCCCACTGCTCCGGCCGGGCATGAATGGGCCTTACCCGTTTCGCTCGTCTTCTTCGCGCTAATTGTTATATAAAGCCCTCTCAGTGACTATGCTTCCTGTCTTCTCCATCACACAAACAATTACTGTTTTACCAAAAATAGCAAAGACGTTCACGATGTTCGGTTTCCGGCAGCTGAAATGTACGATGTTCCTCTTCATGGAGTTGCGCGAACGCCACTTTGGTGGAACAAAAGTCCAAAGATCTACCTCAAAATCATGTCTACTTCTGGAGATGTCCATGGACACGAAGTTCAAATCAGGGCTCTTTCCTAACGTGCGGCTGCGCTTGTCGCTCTTGGTTTTATTATAAAAGAATTCATTGTCTGTCTTTCTTCTTCACCCTTCCCTTACACTACCTTTTCGTTTCTACCAAAACGACATTTGGCAACCCCATGCTCGGACGTCTTGTCCAGTCAGTCACTCAAAATGAAACGAGAACGAGGTTATGATTTTTGAAAGCGCGTGTGATGCACAACATACGAATTTATTGACACACTTCAATGGCCATTAACCAAATTTCGCCAGCATCGTCTCCATGTGTTTCTCGAGATGCCTTTTCGCCGTAACTTCAATTACACATGCGCATCTAATCCCTCGAGCGCTGGCTGTTCAAAACCAAAGATGTACGGATTCATGTTTGCGGTGTTGCGAGACTCTGAAAACTACGAGCTGGAATGATATCTTGATCGGTGGCTGGGTACGACGCAGACGAAAAAAGGGTACATGATGCGTGGTGATGACAATTCGGCCTTGCTCGCCTTAGTGTTAACTCGCAATATAGAGTCAACCCCGGCCTTCGTTTCTATTTCCTCTCTTCTATCACAAACACTTGCTGTTTTCTCTAAATGCAGGCACGATCGACCGATGTGGTTTGTCTGCCTCTGTTGCTTTCCAAATGCTCACAATGCATTAGTCATGTGCTGTGCTGCCTTTTCTTGCCTTCCAAATTATGGACAACCATAAGATGTTTCTGCTTCGTACCCGACGACTACGAAAGAGTTCATATGCATTCAGCACCGATTGAAACTACCTCCATATGCTGATGGAGCAGGATATGATCACGGGACGGCTCAATGTATCTCCCAAAATAGATTATAGCGTGTTCTGCGTGTAAAAACGCAGTTCGACTCATGCTCGTTTCTACTCCAACAAAACATTCATTTACAATCAAAATTGCCAGCGCTGACATATATGTCGTTGTCTCTGCTGTCAAAGTTAATCGATCAGGGGCGAAATTCATGTGCACGAAAAGCGGTATGCTCGCTTGTACAACTAACGGAACCGTAATATGTACTAAGTGGATCGGAATTAGGGAGCATCGTGGTCGTAGAGCTTACGAGGAACCAAGACGTAAAGATGCAATAATGCATCGCTGATCGTGTCTTTCAAAGAGGGATGGCTTCGGGCCATGTTTCCGTCGAGGCCAATTTCAAATATCTGAGCTAAAGCGCAGGGAATGGTCACACTACGTTTGCGACTCAGGTGGAAGGCGATAATAAGCTATAAGCTTTGCCAAATATATGCCACAAAAACGATGCAACTGATGAGATATAACCGATGTGTAGCTACCTCCAGGGCTGGGTGTACGTGAACTGATGAGGAAGGTGGATGAGGTCTTGGCAACGACGTCATTCCGATGCTCGGGGTTTGGGTAATGCTACCCGCGATAAGATCGGAACAAGACATCGGCACCTGTATTAGCAAGCATCGTGACTACATGCGAACATGGGCTTTCCGCGTCAATTGCAGTCGCGATAACTACCCGCGGTGATGTATGACAAGCCATTGAGTTGAGAGGATGTATAAATGGCATTTCCGATGAGTTGGTAAATATCCGCAAGCCGCGCCTTCCGTACACAGACTGAGCATTATCCAGAATGGTGCACTTCACACGCCTCGCATTCGCAGCCCTCTGCCACATTGTGGCCGGGCAAAAAATGCCTTTCGATGCAAGGGAAGCGACCGTCGACTCAGTCCACCACGCGCTCTACTCCGGACTCTCAACCTGCCGCGAAGTGGTTTCTTCTTTCCTGTCTAACATTGAAGCCAACAACAACCGAACGAACGCAATCATCACATTGAATCCCAATGCTTTGGCTATCGCCGATGAGCTCGATGACCAACTTTTGGCTGGGAATGCTACTGGGCCACTCTTTTGCGTCCCAATATTGCTTAAAGACAACTATGATACATCGGATATGCCGACGACTGGTGGAAATTTGGCCCTGGCGCATTCACAACCGACTGAGGATGCTCCAAGCGTGGCCGCCTTCAAGAAGGCAGGAGCTATCATCCTAGGCAAGGCCAACC